AAGAGAGAATCAGTCAGCCACAACCATCCCATCCTTACTTATTAATTTTTCCGGATAAACGAGGAGAAGAAATCTAGAATATCCAGGAATCAAGAATAGAGTTTCAGAAGTAATGGAATGAAGTTTTTAAGTAATGGAATAATGAAGCAAAAGTGTGAAGTTAGCCGCTAATAAGTAGTGAGCAACGGTTCTATTCGATGTTATGATAGAGAGTATTCATTGCGCTTGGTCGTTTATCACGTATTGATGCCGAGACGGTTGTAAAAATTGGTCGGTCACTAGGAAAACTTACTGATTGAAATAAGTTTTAATTTTTTTCCACTATTCACTTTTCTGCTTAAAATTCTGGCATCATAACGAGTGACGAACGAAAGAGGTCCATATTTTCGAACTATATCTTATCGAATGTTAATTTGTCATCGCTATTATCAGAAACACTAAATTAGACCTCTTTTCAATTGCTTTGATGGACAAGTTGGAAAATATAAATACTCATATGCGAGAGCATAAGCTCTATTTAGCAGTCCGATGTTGGAGCTTTTGTTGTCATTGGATTTGTTAGGAGAAGCGCGAATACAAGGATGAATTTTGTCTATGAAACTTAGCAATTCATCGGTCGTATCTACACCAAATGTCGGAGAGAGATAAAAGAAACATTAACATCATTTAGTTTATAAATTCACTGATGGGTCAGAAACTAGCAGTGATTAATGTCTTAATTCGTGTAATATTTCAAGTTGATACATAGAGATGTCTGAGCGTTCGAGGAGTAATATGATACGGAAGAGTGAGAAGAAAGCGATGCTTTTTATGATTATCCATCAGCGAAGCGCAAGGAAGATAAAACGAATGTTGAAATCTTTGTCAAAATTTTTGGAATATTTTTTCGGCCAAGTCGATAGAACGTCATTTACGATATAAAATAAACTATAGTGGGGAAATTCGTGAATAGAAATTTTGTTCAAGGAACAAAGAGGTGTTTCAAGTTTTGAAAATCTTAAAATGTAATTAATTTCGAAATAACAGTGAATCGTTCCAAAGAGCTTCAAGATTTACATCCATTGAAGTGTTTATCCTGGAAATATATTCTTCATTAGTAAATGAAATGACGTCAGAGATGCGATTATGTTATTAGAACAAGTTGAAAATTTTAATTTCCTCAAGGTGTTTATTTACGAAGAATAATCTTAAAAAAAACATTTAATCAATTAGTTTATGATTGTCATCAAACGACGAATATTTTATTAAAATTAACTGGTATAAAGTGGTTTAACCGTGATGCTAAATTCACTATATTTCCTCTAGTTTTAGTTCACTTTTTAGCAATGCCATGCATGCATGCATTCATCCAAGTACTTCGTTTCATTTCAACGTATATGCTGTTAGTAATTAAGATATCTTTAAAATTTAAATTTGCATCGTTTCTAGACAATTTAGTTAACTTTGATTTCGCCCAAGCAAAAGGGTTATATTGAAAGAATATGAAAAATTATAGTTAGTGTTGTTTTTTTCCATAAAACGGTATTAAATCAATATAATATCATTTTTGTTTTCTTCACATGAATAATTAACTTCGTCTTTAATGCACTGTTTAATCCAGGTGTTATTTAAACTAGTTAAATGTTTTTTGATATTAGAAAAACATTTGAGGAATGTGCTGGAACACAAGTATTAATCTGTTTAATGATTTAGCAAGGGGAAGTGGGAAGGAATGTGATGTTTTCGTTTGTTTTCCCCAGATTATTGTTATGTTATTTCATTTTTTTTCTTGCTTAGTTAACTCTTTAATCTAATCGAGTAATAAATTGAAAAAAAGGACTGTGAACAGAAAGTCTGAATAATTTATATCTAATGCTAATTTTATTTCGACTTTTTTTGGAGAGATCTATTAGCTTGAGAAGAAAGAGAAAGCATCAGATATATGTGATACTGGATTTCAGTTTGCAATAGATTTTAGGTACGTAAATCGGCAATTGCTGCGGTTGATTCTTTGGTGGAGCAACGCATAATACCACAAGGTATGTATTTTTTCGTGTTGGATTTTCAAGTTAAATATATTCTGAATTTATATCACATGCAGATCATATGATGCGGGTGAACTTAGGTTTTTCCGTTACACTTGACTACTTGATTTAAATGGCTTAGATGTCGTTAATCACGTCGTTGGTTACTTGTTGTCTCTTGTTTTTCTGTTCTATTGGGCAAATTATATCGTTTTTTTCACTTCCTGTTTACCTAATAAATTGTATAGCTGAAAACGCTTTGATTTCGAGATTTATAAGTTCCGAAGGGAAAAATAGTATCAGTGATATCGGCATGATAGGATAATAGTAAGTCTAATTGATTTGCTGAGAGTTAGTTCATGGAAAGATTTTTTAATCAAGTAATCGTTGTTTTGCATCTTCATTTATTTTTTGATTTTAGCAACTGGAAGACTAAAGTACCTTTTCTCAATTAATCAATTAGGTTCAACAGACAAGGGATAAAAAAATTAACGAAACCATGCTGCACTGAATAAATAGACAAAAATGCCTTACAGTAACCTAAAGTGATTGTAAGTACACATTACCCTGCTTTATTCACCAACATGCTAGAACAAATTTGCAAAGGGGCGCGTTCCACTTTATTACTCCGCTGTTGACAAACATTGTTATTTCTTTTAAGGTAGGTAAGTAACACATATAGTTTCGGTATCAAAATTTTTCGAAGAATTATGTATCGGTATATAAATATATAGATATTTTTTTTGCATTTCCCTTGAATTTTTTGTTTAGTTTTTAAAATACTTTTCAATCTTTCTTTATTTCTCATTTGATCTTATGAGGGAAGGAAGGAAGGAAGGACAGGGTGCTTTGTGTGAGGTCCCGATGCCATTATATACTCACGATAAATATTGCCATTTTATTTTAGTGATAGAAAAAATCCTTTTTTTCTTGAGATTTTTATTTTTTTTAAATGAACAGAAAAATAGCAATCGTATTTTTACTCATCTCGTTTTTTTTGTCGTAAGGAAATGTAAATAAATCAAAATTGAGAGAGAAGATGGAAAATGAATGAATAAATCACGGCTGGCATGTTTCTCGTTGTTTTAAGAGAAGTTTTTTTCTCTTTCGGATAAATGCAAGTTAGTATGAGGTAGGATAGACTGGACTGTGTAAGGGGAGATCAAGGACAAGGCATCTATCTCACTTAGAATTAGAGTTAAGTGTTTCTCTGTGTGTGTATGTGTGTGTGTGTGTGTGTGTGTGTGTGTATGTTTATATATGTGTATGTATGTGTATCTGTACGTGTATGTGTGCATGTTTGTGTGTATTTGTAAGAATGAGTTGTTTTAAAATTATTGGTTTAGATACATTTCCAGGAATCCTTTTATGGAGGATAAAAAGATTGAAATTTCATGATGGATTCGTGTGTGCAATGTTTCGTCATCTTCGTTTTTGTTCGACTGGTCTCATTCTGCTGTGTTTATAATAATTTTGCACGAAGTGACAGCTCATTGGAGCAGCAGTAATTTATCTGGGAGTGTCAAGTTGTTTCAAGCAACTTAAAATATGCTAACCATGCGATTAGTGTGTTGTTTGATCAGTGAGCTTCTCGGTCATAGATCAGTTTCGAAATGACTGCTACGGGTGTGTGTGTGTATATGTATGTGTGTGTATATGTTGTGTATGTTATCACCGTGAGGTGTGCGATTCAGTGGCGGTTTATGTGACGAGTAGCATTAACCAGTATATAGTCATGGCACCATCGATCAGGAGATAGAATTAAATCGTTTTTTTTGTTGGAACAATTTTCCCTGTATCGAATTCAAATCTATTTTTTTATATGTGGGCATTAATAGTTTATCTTCCATAGTATTGGAAATTAAGCCTTTGTAAAAGTGGAAAGGGTAGATTTGGAAATATGACATCATTTTTGAATCCTGTTAATTACTTCAGTTTTAACAAATAGGTGAAGCATCTCGGAAATAGGAATTTTGCAGAATACAGCACACTCTGAGGATTGCAAAGAGAGGGAACTAGAGGTGCATTAATGCTACTGAAGAGTAAGAACAGGGAGGAGATTGCAATTGGTACACGTACGAGTGAAAATGAATAGTCCTTGAAACGAAATCGAGTTCAAGTGATAAGTGAAAGAAGGAACAAATGAAAGATGCTTTTGAGGCACTACCGCTGAGAGGCCATCGTGGGGCCCTTTTTCCTCCCGACCTCATTCTCGCATATATCACCTGAGATTGCTGACCCCTAGCAGTACTACCTAGTGAGACATGTCTTATACCTATTGAACTTGTCCCAATCCCCCCTCCCTCATTTCTATATCGCCTTGCTGCTGCTGCTGTACTGTGATATTTTTCCTGCTTCGAGGTGTTTCCATTACTATCTTTTGCGAAATCGTCATTATGCCAGCCTACACGCGACAAAATAATCAATGAAAGTAACAAATAGAGTAGATGCGAGGGAGGGTCAAACGGAGAGGAAGAGGGAGAGGGAGGGAGAAGAGGGGAAGGGAAGAGTGCTTGCTGAAAATAGCTGGAATTAACCCTTTAAAGATCAGTGGAAGAAAGGGGTGGAGTGATTGCGAGGGTGGCAGAGCAGCGGTGAATACAATTGGTTAACATACTCTCTCGCACTATCTCGGCGCCGTTTTTTATAGTAGACCAAAAATGCCATCTAAATTTTTCTTCTGTTCCCTCCTGTATAACCAAACTCTCTTCACCTCCCTACTCCATTCTCTTTCACTCTTTGTTTGAAGTGTTATCCTTTGCTAATTGCAGTTGCCGAGCAAATATAAACTTTCACTCTCCGTATTTCATCACCTGCATCTCATCGGAACCTCAAGAAGAGATGGAGAAGACCGTCAGAGGGTGGGGGATATATCTCATGTAATGGGCTAGAGGCGTACGAGAGAATGAGCTCCGCCTTCATGATCCTCACTCGTTATTGTGTCGCTCGCTTGCTCTCACTCGGCAGACATAAAAACTAACTGGGAGAGGGAGGGTCATGCCACTCAGTCAGCAACGGAGGAGAAAGGATTGTGATGGTGGCGGTGGTGGGGTAGTTTGCCCCTGCCGGGGGTCCCCGAACTTGTCGCTTTAACTGTTTCCACGGGTTGGCTGCTTCTATTGCATTCTCTGTGCATACATATTGCCAGGGAGGGATGGGTTGGATTGGGTTGCATTAGGGTAAGGATGATTTGGCCACGCACCACCAAAACTCTATTTCAATCTTCAAGTCCCTCTGTTCGTCTTCCTTTAACCTCCAGTTATTCATTCATTCATCCACTTGACCTTACACTGTTACCATCGCATCCCTCTAAAATACTATCCCTTGCCGACAATAAATAAAGCTGTTTCCATTTGATTTTGTCATGCCGTGACCCTGACTCATCGCCCTTTACTCATCACTTTTCATTGCAGTCATTCGTTTTATTCAGGCTTGCACCATTTTCCTCATCCCATTCCCTTACTGCGTTGCTGTTTCAGCTTTTTCCGTTTCTTTCAAATATTAGTATGACGGTTGACAGTGATCCACCCATGTCATACCGCATTTTGTGACTGCAACAGTAACAGTTGTGGCAAAGTATTGGATCTGGTCTACATTCTTCCTTTATCCAACCTCTCATCTTTCTACCGTTGTTACCCAACAATCACCGTAAAGATAGACACGCACACACACATAAACATACAACTTTCGCTTCTTTTCATCTCAGCTCGGTAGATCGTTATTCGCCGGTCATTTTTTTTTCTCATCATTGTTGCAGCATTGCAACAATTATCGTATGTTATTGCCACTTCTGCTTCCTCATATTGCTACCAGTATTACCAATGCTACATTGGATTTATGGATTACAACTATGAGTTTGAATTGTTCACTGATCATGGCTAAAGTGTTTTGTGATATCGACAATCCGATATTTCTTGATATCAATCTAATGATGTTCATGCTCTTCAATTTGACTTAGTGAATTAATTTCTCATTGTATTTAAATAGACTGGTTGTGGGTATCTGTCATTGTATCTATTGGTGTAAGACTCATTACTTCAATTGTTTCGACGGAGTCAATTTATTTCATCAAAAGAGTTTATATATTATTATATGACACTTATGAGTGTAGGAAGACTTACTGCCCTGTATTTCATATTTAGTATCAAGTCTTTCAGGGTGCTTGCAAAATGTGATTTGTCCTACATTGTTCAGGCAATGTTATTGCCCATCTGATTATTCGCATTACATTACTGATGACCAACGAGTGGAATCGCTAATGGTTAGTTCCTAATTTATCACTGCTGTTATTCCCCTGCTTAATGACTGAGTTTAGTGCGGTAGTGAGTTGATAGTTATGGGACATGATGTTCAATGTTAACGATGATTTTTATGAAGCATTGTGCTTTCTCTCAATGTTTGTTTTCTGTGTTTTTGTTTTAAATTCATATTGTATGCTTTGTCTGGGAGCTTGTATTCGAATATCGAGCAGCGCTTCATCAAAGGAATGCGAGCTAGAGTTTTTAAGCCCTCGAATTTCAGTGATTAATATTTGGGCATGTGCTGACAACAAAATTAACTGATTCGCTCCAATTTACGTAACCAAACTTGTCGTTTAAACAGTATATGATATAGCTATGCATCGGTAATACTTGCAGAATACCTTTATCTGAATAACCTTTGTTGCGCTTCTCGATGTCTATTTCAGGGCATTTATTAGATGTGATGAGATTTCTTGCAACTTAAATGTGGACCTTACAATTTTCAAAAAAATAGTACGACACACATATTACACGGCTTTTCGTAGTAGTCATAAGTATGCCAACTGGGAAATGTGAATATGTTAGCTAAATGGAAAGTTAAGATCCACTTTTGATGCAAAAATATCGTTATTCTTGTGTTATTGTATAAGTTCCTGAAGCACCTGATCAAATTACACTCCTAGTATCTACTCTTCATGTCTTCCAATGTACTTTATGTTTGTTCATGACAGAGTAGAATTATTCTTGCATCATTGAGCAGATTTTCTGGGTATAATCACATTTTTAAGACTCAGGCGGGTACTTAGAAAATTCCAGAATGAAGTGCATGATACTGAGATTTGAAAGTTTGAATAAAAAGCATCCAAGGGGTGTAATTTGATATTGCGTGTACCGGAAGAAACAATCTGTACCTTCTGGAGCATGCTGTGTGTCGGCGGTGAAAGACATGGGTAGTGAGACGTTAGAATTTGAAGGTCGTATCACTATTCTGTTTTTCGCCTCGTATCACGGCTACGCCCCCTTCTTACAATTATAATCATCCTGACCCCATTGTGCTAGAAATTCGTCCAGAATAATTTCATTCGACAATTCTTTCGACGAAGTTGGCTATTGCTTTAATGAAGACCTGTTCGCGGATTGGTATATAATGCGATTTTATTTTGTTGCGAAAAGAATACTCGTACCATTGTTATCACGTATGCTAATGCGGATTGGATCAGTGAGAAGTGAAAGCTCTCCGCTTTTTTGTTACTGTTTCGTTATTGCTCGTTGTTTTAGGTGCGTAGTTAACAGCTATGGTTTTGTCCTATTGTTTAGATGGCTTCGGGTTGGATAACAAATCATTTCGGATTTGGGATTGTTTCGCGATATGCTGATATTGTTAGCCAAGAAGGATTGTAGTTTCAAGTCGAAGCCATCATATGCATATTTATTGCTTTGTGAAATACATTTTACGGTATATCTATTTGGTTGCTAATAGTTAGAGTGAGCAGTGAATTGGACCACACTCGTCCTAATTATTAATGCCACCGTGCTAGTGTGAAATTTGTTGCTGGAGTGTATAGACTATCCCTGAATTTAGTTGCTAATTGTTTTTGAATAATCTAAAACCAGTATTTAAGAAGAATTAGCTTGAAATTGCTATCTCAAGTGGTATCGTGTCATAGATTGGAATATTTCACAGAAGAAAATCCAATGTTTCGCTAGCCGTCTTAGCGCGATTTGATTCGATAGGTGTGTAAAGCAGTGGTTATAGAAAAATCTTACACACCTGATTGAATCTGTGTTTGTTCCACAAGCAAGGTTACAGGAGCGATTTAAAGCGATTGTTTATAAGCAGAGATGTTGGCGGTTCCTTTTATCTTTTTCTTGGTGAAAAGAAATTCCCGAGTGCTTTTATTTTTGCTCTGATTGGCATACGTGTATAGGAGAGCAATTTTGGTAATTGTAGTGGTGTAGCGTCTTTTGTAGTGTTTATTAACTGGAATGATAAGTGGCGATGACGAAGTGCAGCGGTAATGATAACTTTATTGCGAGAATGATAAAGTTCTGACATTCGTGAGATCAATGCCAATTATCCTAATAGCATCAGTAATGTTACAGTCAGAGTGACATTAAGGGTAGCCTTAGTGGTCAAGGCAAATAACGTGTTCATGGCTCCTTTTCGCTAGTTTTATACCTAAGGAAGGCGAATCTGTGTTTGGAAAAAATGGCAGCAGGTGCACCTGATATAATTCTTCAGTTTCTTAATTGTCATGTAATACATAGTCTTAACACAAAGATTTTTCTTTTGTATCATACTGTTAGGTATTTATTTAGGTCAGGGTAAAGTAGCAGATGGGAATATTGTCATTTGAGGACGATTGTCGTCGGATGGGAGAGATTCGTAATGTGATGCGATCGGTATGAATATGGGTAACGATATGCGTGTATTGGGAGGTTTATGTGAGTGAAATATGTGTGAGTACGTGTAATGTTGTCAGTGTAGAGGAGCGGAAAGTTATTAAATAGAGGAGACAAAGGCATTATTCCATTTGCCGTCATTGAGCAGGAAGACTGTCATATGATGGAAATGTGTAGTTGTAGCTGTAAGTGTTGTAGTAATAGTAGTTAGTAGCAATAGTAAGAAGAATATGGAGAAGGTGAGTGTTGGATGAAAAAGAAAGGAAGGAAGAAAGCTTCATGGGAGAACAAAAAGTTCTTCCCTCTCCATTTTGCACCATCATCAACCATCTCACAGCTGCTTTAAGAGTATGATGGGGTAGAAAAGGATACGACAGGTGTCCCTGAAGCAAATGGCGCCCCATTTCCTCCTCCTCCTCCTCCTTTTTTCACCACCCCGTTTCAATTTCATTTTCCTTTAATGAAGATGAGGATGAAGTTAGCGTTTGTATTCAACAGTGTATCGATGAAGCGGTATTACTGATACTGTACCATTTTTTCTCTATTTCCAATATCTTATGCATAAAGAAGTGCAATGATGGTAGTGGTGAGGGAAGAGGAAGGAGATGTTTTTATTCATTGAGTATGTACGGAACAATTTGTACATGTATACATAGTGTATCGTAATAGTTATAAACTTGCTAGTGGAGTTTGTAGTTGCTATTCCTAAGATGTATGATTCCTTCAGTTGGTATCATTTTGCACAATTACCTCTCCTTTTTTTTAAGTTTGTATATTTCTCGGCTTTTTTTACTATAAATTTGATGCCTCACAAAAAATGACTTTTTTTTAGATTTATTGCTTTTTCTTCCATTGCAAGCTTAAGTTAGCATTTATTTCTTGTTTCGGCTGCAAGTACTTAGCAACATACACCATTATTTGTGTGTAAATTTTTGTGACCAAAATTTCAGGTTTTTTGTTAGGAAAAGGGGATTTATAGACGAGTTATGTTAATGGCAAATCAAAAACCACTCATCAATTGTCAGTTATTAGCAGAAATCATAAGCGGTTCACCTTCGATCGGTTGATGCGGAAACTGAATAGACACCTGCTTCAATAAGACTTGGTAATCTGGTGTTTCTGATGTTTGATGAGAGCTAGAGTTGTGGATTATCTGAGCTTCATTTCTAGCGGGGTGATTTCGGAAAAGGATTTGGGGGGTCTAGTAAGATGATTGAGACGGGTAGTTTATGTGGTAGATGCGTATATTTTATTATGTGAGATTAAGATAGAATATTTTCGTAATGGACAGCTGGGTTGATCACTTGCATTTGGTATGCTTATTTGTGAATGTGGCTAGTTTGATTGCTCTCGAGCAAAGTTTCGCTTCTGATAGAAAATATTTCTGATGTTGCATAACGAATAAGGTGTGTTATCTTTAAATTGTTTCTGATCGCTTATTAACTCGTTAACAATTATTTGCACTCATGATATGTAATTGTTTGTGTGCAGAATCGTTTGTAAATTGCAAACTTATTTTGGTAAAGTTCACGTATTGTTGTTAATCTGTGAAATCTTGATATGTTATCCGTTGGTGAGGTCCTAGGCCGTATTGTTTGTAAAGTGGTAGTTTTCTTTTTCGAGGATTCATCGAAAAGGACTCCTCCAACACGTCAAAGTGGTCGGTGATGTGTCGCTAGATGAAATTCATATCACAGCCAGCTTTGATGTGTTGTGCGCTTGTCGTCCCATCGTAACATGCATATTTAGCATCAGATACTTTCAGGCTTGACCTAGCGTCTCGCATGACCCCATGGCTTGATGAAACATCGAATACGCAACGCTGTCGGGCGGGACTGCCTTTTCTTCCTCGGTTTTTTCATGTTTTATTATTATATGTAAGCTTAGGGATACTTTGTGAACAGTTAGGCCTGCGGATTTCACTACTTTAATGCCACTATTTACAGTATAAGGAAATCCTGTTTTCAGGGCGAGTACATGCGTCAGTAATTGGCTTGTTTCGCAAAATGCTTCCGAAATTGTAAACGATTAGACATTTTAGTTATGTGTAACATACGCAGTGGAAATATATTTTATTTGTTTTAGTTTGAGAATTATCCCGAAAAAGGCTACTTGTTTGTCGTTTCTATTATCACAGTCGTTTAGAAGTATATAATGTTTTATATCCTCATTCTGTCTTCCATACTTCAAAAGTGACCTGTCCACAAGTGTCGTATGAATAATATCTCGTGTTCTTTTTAAAAATAATTTGAATTGATAAATAAAAATGTTGAGAACTTAATATTGGCCATAAAGAGTTGTGATTCATATTTATGGTGAGCTTCTGTGTTTATCATTTCTCAACCGGAAAATGAAAATGTCTTTACACAGAATTTGTTTGCGTTATACTGAAATGTTGAGGATAATAAAGTTCCGGATGGAAAAGGAGAAAGTAAGAACATCTAACTCGAAGAGAGATAGCAGGGGATAAACAAAGAACAGCGTAGCTAAGATGAGAGATATATAATGCTGATAATGTTTTCAGCTTCTCTGCAAAGTTGTCACATGGCCAGGAGCGTTGACGAAGAGATGGATTTTCGAAAATTTTCTCGGCAGATATAGCATACTGTTGCAAGATACAGCGTTTCATATCCGGAAAGTAATACTAAAGTTTTATTTTCTCGTTAGGTTTTGATATAGCGCTAAATCTAAGAAATTATATCATGTAGAAATTGCCAATTGCCAAAGAAGATCAAGATAGATTTCTTCAAGTGGCAGGTTCCTTGCCGTGAAAGTATATGGATTGTTTTGTGTCCACCACGTGTATAGACTGTCATATGTGGGTCGTTGGTGCTAAAAGTTACACCTAATGATTGATTTATTCAATGTAATAGTGCGGGAATACTACCTTGCATTGAAATGAGTGCTGCGGGAGTAATCCGGTTCTATTCATAACACTAATTTCTCCTTATGTTATGATGTGTGGAATGCAGGAAAGGTTGGTTGGTGAGAGGATGGCTGATTTCGAAATTGAGGAGGTTTTTGAAGAGGAGTGGCAGTCATAAGGCAAAATTTGGTATCCGGGAGGGAAGGAGGTAGGAGCAGAACTCATTGCTTCATTATTTCCTGATACGACCCTCCCGCTATCGTCAATCCACATTTCTCGAGCGGTTGGAGAGTGGTGAGAGAACAAAGGTAAGTGGAAAGGAGATGATGATTTCGTAAGTTGGACTTGCGCCAAAAAGACCAGAGGTTTCCACTTCTTTGGTTCCTTATTTCAATGGATGAAGAGGGGTTAGCATAGTGAATGGGGAGGTTAGTGTCACGGTCAGAGGTCAATTTAGCAACTCATTCTATCATTTCCCATATTTTCCAAATAGTTTTTGACGGGAATTTTACATACATACACACACACACACACGCGTATACATTGTGAAACATCCTTTCTCCTTTCAGTTTATACCAGAAAAAGTATCTGAAAGAGAGAGGGGAGAGAAAAATGCTTCCAGCTTGATTGCTTTAGCAGTGAAATTATCCCATCGTTCTCTAACACTCTTATGAAATTACCGCTTCGTTTTAGAGAAGCGGTACAAGAGATGAAGGGGAGAGCAAAATAACGATACATCCATTTGTTACTGCAATTCAATTTATTATCTTCTACCATATTTGATACATTTGAGATGTCTAAGAGCAGAGGTCAGTTGGGTTTAAATGAGCGGACAAAGGATGATCTAGATTGATATGCAGTAGTGCTTCTTCCTTAGCCACTAAACATTTTTCGTTGGGATTGATTTGTGAGGTTTAGATTTTTGAATTATCGGGGTGATCGTATTTGACATTGTTGAAAAGATTTGAAATATGGGTGTGGGAAAGCACCAGTTCTTCTTCTAAGAGGAACATTCAGCAAAATCGTCTGAACTCTTTCGAGGGATCAGATGATTTGCTAAATGTTTACTGATGAAATTACGATAATGAATATGCTATTATGCCCAAGAATGATGAAAAAGGAAAAATATAAAGGAAATTCAGCAAGTGAAATGAAGAGAAAGAAAAAGACGCAAAAGTTGCTTAATCTTTACCGTCCATCGAAGTACAATGAAGCATAACATATCATCACAGTGGATTACATTGTATCACGCTAATCATTTTTTTGAAATTGGTTAAGATAGTCAGAACAGGTGTGTTAACAGGTTGTGGATGGTGATGTTAAGTTGTATAGAGAGTCAAGGTTGCAATTAATGGTTGGGATATATCAGTAGATAATGGTTGGGTGCTTTTGATAAGGTTTCGTTTGTGTTATACTGGAGAGTGAAATCCAATTAATTTAAAACCAGCATTCCTGTCAAAATTTTACCATATGACATTTGGAATTTAAAAGTTGGTGGGCAGTTCTTTCTTCCAAACTGTAAAGTCAGTTTTGAGTAATCCAAAATATACAAACTGTAGACTTCAAACCTATGATGTTTAGGATCTCGATTTAGTTTATGTCAATCATCTCATCTGTTGGTCACTTCGGGACATGGCAAGTCCTGTAATCAATCTGACTTATTTAGCAGCTGGATGGAAGCATTTTTCCTCTCTGATTTGTTCAGGGGACAGCTGATGAAGTCTTTTCAGAACGTCAATTATAGATAAAAGCAATCATTAATAAGCTTGAACAAGCAACAGCAACATTCTAAGCTACGGAAATCACACGGATGTTTTTTGTTTCACTAAATGAATAGGTTATATTTGAGAAAATGATAGAATACAGAGTTGCGAATTTTACACTATTAAACTGATGCGATAAATGAGGCAAGATAATTATCAATTAAATAATAGATAATGGGATGGAATAGATTGTTCAATGAGAGTATAAAATGAGGTTCAGTGAAAGATAAAACAGTGAGTGCCCTTTGTGATAATGTACTGATTATTCAGCCAAATTAAAACTCGGTAATAGATTTCATAGAATACAGAATCGGGGCGCTAACAGATTTTATAAAATATCATGCTTGAAATATTAGGTAAAATTTTAACCATTCGACACTGTGAACTGCATAAAACAACATTAAAGATTTGAACTGAAGAGGTATACGGTATGTTATATTTTTGCAACTGATAAGCAGAAGTAATATACATAAAGCGAGTCTGAGAATAGGAAAGAGGTCAAATGTGAATGGAATTAAAATATTAGGAAAAAGAACAAATAAATTACAAGTATAAATAATTCGGGCTGGTAATAAATTCGAGATTTAAATATTCATTGTGAAGAGATGGCAGTAGTAGTACTTAATCGTTCAAGTTACATTTGTTAACATACTGATTGATTCCTGTAGTAACCAGAGTACATCTGTTATTGTGGATGATAGACGAGAGAGGGACGAGGTTTATGATTTGGATTATTCTGATAGAGTTGAATCCAAGAAAGCGATCTAATATGTTTTAATAGGGATATATCGCCTTAAATGAATGGCAATTAAGTAAATGAAAATAGTTGTTTTATAATTTCATGCTTCAATATCCTGATATTATAAGTGAAACAGTTTCGGTATTTTATTTACTTAATTGCCACTCATTTAAGGCTCTGCCATTTGCAGGATCAGCTTTTATTTTTATATGTTTTAAATGGCTTTTTTTTTAATATCTTTTAAATACATATTAAAATATGAATTTGAGTTTTCATCAAATATGAAAAATTATGAGAAATGATTTAAGCTTAAATTCACATTGCTATTCGAATATACAATTTATCGAATTAATTATTTGATTTCTTATAATTTCAATTATTCCATAAATTCCAGACATGTATAACGATTCTGGGAAAATTGGCGATAATGTTCGGAAGGAATTTCACGGAACAGGTGAAATAACTAGTAGAAATTTATTTATGCTAGAAATTTTTGATATATCAAAAAATTTTTACCGTTGACAGGTACTGAAAGAACGATGAAGATGAATAAGGAAATGAAAAATGATGAAGAAATATGTTTGAGGGAATAAAGTGGAAAAATATTCTCATAGAATTTTGTATCACCCCTTGATGTTATCTATTTTTGTCGTTTCTTTATTCCTTATTTTTCTTCTGCTATCTTGCAGCTGTTTTGTATGTTTTAATATTTCATCATTTATTGTTGTTTTTGCAGTTTGCGGTACCATTTTTAATAACATCAAGTGAAGATGTAGCTTGGGGTGTTCGAAAGTCATCATGTGAAGTGTTTGTTGATGTCGCAAATTATTGCACGATGGAAACAAAAAAGCGCAAGCTTGCGCCACGTTTCATTACTCTACTTCATGATACTTCACGTTGGGTAATTTTTTTGTTCTTATTTTCTTATTTGAAAAATTCATTTTGTTTTTGCATTAATTCGATTGATTGATTGATTCACTCGCTCATCTATCGTTTTGGGGATGAAATTGAAGAGGGTCCTTGTTATGTTATCCTGTTTGGCAAATCAAATCTATATAATTTATAGAAGAAATAGAGATCTATATTATTTATTTATTTTTTTATAACAACTAATAAGCGAAATGATTTTTATTCTGCTAGAAATTAGGGGAAGGAGAGATTAGTATAATTATTGAAAGATTAATATAATCATTGAAATTAATGTAATCATTGAAATACTATGCAAAGATCTTTTTTAAAAAGAGCTTTTTTTTTCCATTCAAGATATGATTATTACTAGTGATTTCACACATAGATTTCCTTTTTCCATTTTTTCACAAAATATTGGCAATTTCAAATTCATTCTTTTTCATAATTTGCGTAGTAAGCATTTAAGCATCGTTTTAATGCGACCGTTATAAAAAATGTTTTTATTAAGGCCTAGTTTTCTCCTTAGATTTCTGAGGCCCTAAGGAATAGATCTCAGACTTATTCATCGTTTGTTTTTGCAGGTAGCACATGTGGCATTCCAACAGCTTGGTCGCTTCATTGCAACATTTGCGGATGAAAATCGTATGGGTATGGAAATAAGGGATGGCCGATTGGTCATTGCGAATTGTTAGTTCCTCTGTTATTTTCAAAAAAAATTTTTTACGAGTTTCCTTTCAGAAAATGATGATATTCGATCATCCGTTTATCTATACAAGCGGTTTCTGTAGGATCGTTTGTATAATTGTCGTTATGAGAAGATTTTTTAATATAATTGTAAAATTGATTTTAGTATTTTTTGCTTCGTATTTCAAATTAATTTGAATTATTTCTGTAATATATCTCTGACATTTAGTCCTACCATCATTCATTTCACTGCTAAGTATTTCGAATAAATGGACTTCGTTTTGTTAACTTTCTGTATTTTGAATTTATGTAAAGTTTCGTAAATTAGTTTAGTTTTTTTTTCAGCTGATATAGCAGAAGATGGCAAAAGTATGCGAAATAACAATATGAGTAGTGAAACAGTTGTAGAAGATGACGAAAATGAACTATACTGTCAGCTGCCTCCAGGTGTTGTATTTCCAGAATCGGATGTAGCCGAGGAATCAAAAGAATCTTCAGCCTCATCATCACCTCAGGACCAAAGGTTTTTGATTAAATTATATTCATTTAGTTACATAAGTAGAGCATTCTCATTATGATACATTATGTACCGTCGTTTCTACTTATGTAGATCTCGTGGTTTTTTTCCGTTATGTGACGAAACATGGTCATATCTACGTGTGGTGGTAGAAAATCGGCGGAATTCGCTTTGAAAACATAGAGATTTTACTATTTACAAAAGACAAAGTTATAGTCAAGCTCTCGAAGCCAACTACTTTTTGATCTTTGAACATAATGGAGCGATAGTGAATTGAGATTGGCACACGATGTTGAGATAGGCTGCATATAGAGTGATTTTAAAATTTCAGTCATGTTTTAAATGAATTAACTTGCTTATTGGATTCATGGGATTTATGGGCCATGTCGAATGATTCCGTAATCTCAAATAATTCACTTGTTCACGATTCGTAAGTCTCTAATTTCTGCACTATTGACTGCATTATAATCGATGTTCTTTATCTCCTTCAAATAAGCATTCTCATTATGATACATTATGTTAGCTACCCCGTCGTTTCGCAGCCCAGTGCAACGATGACTTCATAAAAATTGATAATGCGAATATAAATTTTGTTGCTAAACCCTTTATTGTAATTTTGAACTGTAATATAATTAGCTTGTATCAAGATAATTCTGGCTTCCATTAGCTTGTGTGTTTCTAAATATCAAGGGTTGAAGACATTTAGCTTCGATATTCATCTAAATGACTTTGAACATCCAGTTCTGTAGTAGTTTTTTCGTTTAGTATGGATCTGGATATTGATAATAATGTTGCGGCATCATGTTCAACGCATTTTGATTTAACAAAATTAACACCTGATGATAACGATGATAGTAGTGGTGAAGAAGATGGTAATATCGACGGCGTCGAAGAACCGTGCCCAATGGACATTGACGATGATGATGTAGAAATTTGTTTTGAGGCAAAGTTTTTTCTTCAAATGATCGAAAATTTTAAAATGGTCGGGATTTCATCGCAGTGATATTTCTACTAAAATGGCCAGAAAGTGGTGGAAAATAATGGAAAATATCAATTCAATTCAGAAATTTGAAGATCTAACTTAGAAATACGTTTGAAAATCCAGTGAGGTGTTGTATTTTTTGATGAATATCCAAGTTTGATTTGGTACTTCAATTAGGTAAAACTGGGACTTTTTCACATTTTGGTGAAATTCAAACTTTCTTGTTTCAGGAACCATCCCAAATGGATAATAACGATGATTTAAATGCTTATTGTCCTCTGATATATTGGTCAGCGGAATCTTTTGATGTTGATTTAAGATCGTATGGGAAAAGTACAACTAAGAGTGCAACTATCAATAAAAATTACAATAATAAAAGGAAGTATAAGAATGATGTAAAGAAACTTATAGCTGAGTTTCTCCAGCGGCGTTCAGATTTATTTTATGATGCATCAAAACACAGAGTAAATGTAAGTTTTTGTTTTAATTTATTGGTATTATTATTTCATTCCTGTTAGGTTGAAGTAAAATGAAGAATTTTCAACATCTTTATTTTTGGCAGTAATAACTGCTTTTATAAGCTCAGGAATGTACATATGTAAAGTGATGCATTAAGTGGCTATCGATTTTTTTAAAACAATTTCAATAGTGAAAAAAAATTAATCCGTTATGTTTAACAAGAAATGACAAAAAACAAATATCGTGTTGTTTTGTTAAATAACTTCATCACTATTAAATAGATGATGGCTTCCTAATATATAATTGTTGATTTAAAATATATATTTCTGTCATAAAATGTCAAGGCATTTTTCCATGCTCATATAATACTTTGCAGTCTCACCTTTTATGTTGTATTTTGGATAGCAACATATCTAAACATGATAATATGTTGATGTATAAGCGCCAATTGGAATGCAAACTTTTCAGGATGCAGAAACTGCAGTTGATGAACATTCAGAATACGATAGTTATATTATGGAAGAGGATGATTTAGATGAATTAGATGGAATTTCGGATGAAATGAATAAAGCTGTTACGGTTTTGTCTAAGGCATGTTCATCAGGCGGTTCTGTTGGTGATGAAAATGAGCAAACAACATCTTCATCCATCATTAGAACTCAGGTTCATTTTTAATTAACTTATAACTTCTGAAGAATTCATCTTAAAATACTTCCTGATTTTAAGCATATAACTGTAATTGTTTTAAGCACTTTTCATTTTGTATTCCTGACGTTAATTAAGAGCTAAATTGGTGGCTGAAGGAAGTATTATTTAAACGTAACAAAATTTCAGATGGTTATACCACAAGCTCTGCTTGACAGTTTCGTGCATATGGTCTCACCGTGTGATAATACAGATAGTGAAATAAATCGACAGTGTGCCCACAGTTTCCCAGCTGTTGCTTTTACCCTTGGTCGCAGTAACTGGCCTTGTATTATGAGTACCTATAAACAGTTAGCATCAGATATGCAGGTATGTTTTTAGTAATTTTGCATCAAAGCTTTATCGAAATTGTGTTAAAGTTGGAACAGCAACGTATTTCAAGATCTGTTTTATACCTCATTATAAAATTGTAACTGAAGTATATGTAAATATTTGACATATGTTCCTCTTTATCGTGAATGCAGAAATAATGGTTCACTTGTTGCTGTAGATAAAAAAATGAACTTTCCAGTTTTTGGTATATCAAATATAATGGCTCAAATGTTTATTGTTCTTTAAACAATAGTGATAAAAGTAAGTTAGATATATTCAGTATCTAACTGAATATATTTCCTTCTAAACTGTTTTAGTGGAGTGTTCGGCAGACGTTGGCATCGTCAATTCACGAAATAGCAGCAATTATTGGAGAGGAAAATACAGATGCCCATTTGGTACCAGTATTTGAACGATTCATGGAAGATGTGGATAATGTGAAACTTGGGTTACTGAATCATTTGTACGATTTTTTCAAAGTAGGTCTATGGTTATCAGAAATATTTATACTTATATCATTTCGGTTTAAGGACTGAAAATAAAATTCATTAGACTCGAATTGAGTTAAATAAAATCTTTGAAAAGTATTATTATCTTTTCAAGTAGCCCTATTTATGTGTAGTAAGTTGATTGGTCGTTGAGTTACTGTTCAAATTAGTTACTTATTTGAACATCATTCTTGTATTGAACAGAGAAAATTGATGTTCATCTTTGAACAAGATTATCTTGTTTCAGTTGGTAACATCTGCTTCAAGGCGAAAACTGTTGTCTGTATTGCCAAATTTTTTGCATTCCGATGCTGATAGTGGGCGTAATTGGAGGTATAGATATGAATACGTCAGGTAAATCTGTTTACATTCATTTGCTAACATAGTCTTTATATTTTCTTCCATTGAAGTGATACTGGCCAAGTAGATCTATTCCTTTGTTGATTTTTTTTGTTTTATGAATTTAATTCTTACAGTTCTCTTTCAGGCAATGTATTCTTCTGTGCGATCTCTTTTCTATACATGACATTAATCAATATTTGGCTGCTATAGCTTTAACGCTAGCTAATGGTTATTTTTCAGTTTTTAAAGTACAGAAAAATGAAGAAGCAGTAGTAAAAAACAGAACTGCTGCTTTTTGGATTTTATGTTTTTGACTTTTTGAAACACCTAATTAATTAGAGTGGGAAAGGAGGTGCAATTACAGCTTATTTGTTGGAATCGTGTTTGCCATATTTCAGATAGAATATCAGATGTGCGAAAGGAAGCAACTGTACTATTGGCAAAAATATTAGGAAAGTTTGTTAGCGAAGAGTGGACTTCAGATTGCACTTATTCCTGCAAAACTGATATGTCATTTATTCCAATCACCGATTCATTTATCAGTGATATTGTGAAAGGATTTGCCCGATCAATGAACTGGCGAAGGAGGCAAACGTGAGTTATCTAATTTACTTTTTCGATTAGTTTTCATCATTTTCATCAGTTTTCATCATTTTGTCTGGTTATATTATGTGGATCCATGGGAAAGATCCATGCGATCCCGTGTGATTTCATACAAATATCTTTTTTTGATTTATTTTTTTTAGATTTGCTTTGTTCTGTGAAAGAAGTTTGGAAGGTGAAGTGTTAAACTATAATCAGTTCTCACTGTTGCTATTGGATGATTTGATGAGACTAGCCGGAGATTGTAAGTGTTTAATTCAAGCATATCCAGTAATTATGTATTTGATTTCTCTATTCAGATGTAGAGCTAAATTCGGTGTTGAAGAAGATGAAACTGCAAGCAAAGAAGTTTCCACCAAATTTAGGATTGAAAAATGACAGATTTAAATTTTTAGCGGTAGCGAATGTACGCTTGGCATTCGTACGATCCCTCTCAAAAGTTCATGATGGATTCGCTTTCTGTGGATCACGTGACTCATCAATTATATATCAGAGTCTCGAAACGCTACTTTCTGATGAAGATGTGGACTGTAGGCGGGCTGCTCGAATTTCACTTGGAATTCCGGATACTGAAAATGCAATTGATGTAAGTTTTCGATTTCATAAAAATCTTTCTGTGCGACTTTTAGGACAACTGTTTTCTATGCTTCTACATTTTAAGATCTCATTGTGTCAGGATTCATAATCAGGACACCATGAGTTGCGTTTTTTTTAGGCTTAATTGCTATGTTCAAAGGTAAGGTTCATGACACAGACTGGAAAAAAATTATGAAGTTATGTGAAGCTTGTCTTCAGCCTGCAAAAATTGATCAAAAACTGGATATCATTCCCCAATTTTTTTCAGGCGAAAGATTACGCTCAACGGCTTCATGACACAAATGAAATTATTTCAGCCAAATACCACACTGACCAACTCATATCTTCAAACCATAAAACAATCTGAAAGCAATGCAATTTGTTTCACCTTCTACTGCCTGACTCTCTTCTCGAATTTATGATTTTTTAAATTTAGGATATCATGTATTATCATCATATTACAGTATTTTTCTATAGGAAATATTTTTTTTCATCAACATAGTTCATTTCTCTTTTAGCATATTTGGAGGTCAAAAATTGTACTTATCTTGTCTGAATATAATGAGAGGTTAACATAATAGTTTTTCTATTATGTTCTAAAAAGGTGTTTTTATACAAAAAAATCTTTTTCCATGCAAGCTCCAACTATTTTAATCACATGCATATAGATATGTGGACATATTTGTCACCTAAATTTTATATTTTTTAGAGCTACCCTCATTTATATTTTTATCTACCGAATTTTTATCTGCCGTTTATTTCTTTATTTTGTCGAAATTTCAGCTCTAAAAATGTGAGTTATTTATTCTGTTCAAAGAATCATAATCTTGCGTATTTTGATTTTATTATTTACATGGAAAAAATTCACAGAAAAATCATTCTCAAGTGTAATTTTTCCTAAAAATTCTCATTTTATGGTCATTGTTTAATAATGTCTTTCAAATATATATATCTCTTCTATCACTTATTCTGTTCTCATCCTCTAAGAATTTCTTCACATTTTTCTTTCTTTGAAGTCGTATTTTATAAATAGGTGTTGATTTCTGACTTGCTCATTTAAGAAAATCAAACATAAATTCAATCGCAGGTCTTTCTTAATGATAATAATAATAATAGTAATTAGTGAACATTGCAATATGGGGCAAGTACATCTGAGAACGTATACATATTATACTATGTTGTATGTTTTTGTATCATGTTTATTGCTTAATTTATTTACCGGTTTATTTTTAATGGGTACAAATGCTAAATGACTTTATGATATCTTCAAATTTCTCTACTTATCATTTTGCCAGTTTTTTTTCTATATTGATTAATGATAACATCACTACTGCATGTTTCTTTTTTTTCGTGAAATAAAATTACAGAAATTTTGTGATAAATCAGGAATTAAATGTATTTCGGATATCACAATGCTCGTATTTAAATTATATCCTTTGCATAAAATGTGATAAATTATTCCAGTATGGGCTCTCTATCACAACAAATAAATTCTCTGATATCTTCTACTCTGTCGAATTTATCAATTGACCTTAGAGAGAAGTTATCATGGAAACTTCTGTTATTATAGAAACTGACATGATGCTAATCTATTTCAAAGATGATAATGATATCTTAAATTTTTAAAATTTTAGCTTTTGAATCATTTAAGGGAAATTGTTTGAAATAGGAAGATTTGTTTATTAAAGCAACCTAAAATTTCCAATGCAAAATGTACTACTACTACAAATCAAATGCCAATGATGCAATGATATGAAATATGTAGCATTTTGCCGACGATTTGTTTGATTTGATAAGGCATTCTGATATTTTGTCAATTGCGCTATCTGTCATAGTTTTTCTTTAGTGTCGAATATATCTGCGAAATATAATTATGAAAATTTATGATATTTAACTTTTGTTTTTTTCTGAAAGAATGATTACATTTAATAGTAATTAGTATAGTTCGTAATTTAAGAAGCTGATATTACCACTAACTAGTAAGATAGATTAAAATTAACGAAATACTCATCTTTAATAACGATTTTCTATTATAGTTTTATTTTTATGATTATTTATCCAATTCGTAAGCTTACTTTGCTGTCCAATCAATTCTTCCGGATGGTTTTGTACTTTGATTGTTTAATGGATTTTTCCGGACGCCAAATGATGGTACATAACCTTCAATGAATTTACAATGTCTTTCCATCATAATTTATCGTAATTTTTCACTCTTCATTAATTTAATTTCTCATATAGTTAATTTTTCAGTCTTCATAATTTAATTTATATATAATTCCTATTGGAAATTATTTATATATTTCAATCTTTGTAATTTAATTCATATATAATTCCTATTAGAGATTATATATATATTTTTTTCAGTTTTCGAAGTTTAATTCATTATATATAGTTCATATATAATTCCTATTAGAAATTATATATATATATATTTTGCTAATTTAATTTCTCATATAGTTAGTTTTTCAGCCTTCATAATTTGATTCATATATAATTCCTATTAGAAATTATATATATATATCAATTTTATTAATTTATTTCGTATATAATTCCTACTAGAAATTAGATATATATATATCTCACTAATTTAATTTCTCATATAGTTAGTTTTTCAGCCTTCATAATTTGATTCATATATAATTCCTATTAGAAATTATATATATATATTTCAGTTTTCGTAATTTAATTCATATATAATTCCTATTAGAAATTATATATATATATATATTTCAGTCTTCATAATTTAATTCATATATAATCCCTGTTAGAAATTATACACATATATATAATTTACTATTAGAAATTATATACGTATAATTTAATTATAAAATTCTATAAGTTTTGTTATCATAATAAAGCGATCATCTCATTTCTTTTTTTTGCAAAAAGATTGATAAACTCTACCGTAAGCATATTCGAAACGAGCCTGTATTGCTGATCTTGCTAAATTTGGCTTCATATTTGATCGTTTCGTTGGATCAATACTTTGTTGATTCATCTGATTAATCATAAGACCTAAAGCAAATATGAAATTTGACTTCATATTTGATCGTTGATATCATCATATTTGATATCATTCAAAAGATATATTATTGAATGAAATTGTATATCATTTATTATAAAAATTCAAAATCTTTTTAATTAATTAAAAAAAAAAACAATAATGTTTTAATTAAATAAAAATTTTTTAATTTTAGATGACTTTTAATTATTCTTTAAAATAGGTAATAAATATAGAAAAAGAGGAGCGAACCAGGCATATATCTTGATTTTGACATATACAATTCTTTGGCAGGTAATTTAGTTTTCATATATATAGTACCAGTGATTGTATGACTATTCTTATCCAATAATGTATCAGCTTTCGATGATTCATCCAGAAGTCTGCAATTTTATTCTCTAATTATGATAATTAGGAGAGTACTGTAATAGTGAATGAATTATTTTAATTAATTAAATAGGAAAAGATATTAATTATTGCTAAATTATTTACTTTATAATGGGTAAATTTCTATTAATATTTCGTTCCGGATTGATATTTCCAATATCAGGTTTTGTTGCAGAAACATTCGTTTTTAATTTTGCTTTACCAAGTAATACATAGGAATCGGATAGTGTTGAACCAGCACTAGTTTCTCGATTTGATGTTGATGGTTGACTGATCGTTGGTGCTCCTAATTTTTCTCCAACCAGAAAATATCGATATTTCAAGGACTGCAAAAATTTTCATGATTAAAAATTACTTTTCAAATATCATTTTAATTTAATATTTCATTAAATTCACTAACACTGATAGCACTAGGTCGTTTTTCCGGATTCCAAAGCATCATATCTGTCATCAATTTAAGGCCATCATCACCTACTGAATTTACAATTGCTGCAAATGGTATTGGAACGCATCGTTGAAATTTGAAATTCATTGCTATAGCTAATTGATAACCTTCCGGCCAATCATCCTAAAACAAATTACATTACTTTGAATGCTGTTATTAATTAAGAAAAGTTCTTCATCTTTAATATTATAGTATCATATCAGATCATATCGTAGTGAAGTATGATTTGTAGCATTTTTAGAACAGTTGAAGATTTTATGATTTTTAGGTATTTCAGTTTCATATATCATATTTCATATTTCCTACAGCGCATTATTTCCGATATACTACACCTGCATATTTAATTCAAATTAATTACTTCAAATTAATTACTACTTCTTCATACATATATATTGAGGAATTAATAAATTTTTCATACTTGTAAAGTCTGTTTTTTTTCTTATGCCAATCTTAATTGTATTCGTAAATTTTAAATAATAAATTCAAATTTAATATTTCTGAATCATATTAAAATAATATAAACTTACTAACCTTACTAGGTGTTCCCAGTATTGTAATAATTTTAAAAAGTTGATCCAATTCTGAAGTACCAGGAAATAATGGCCTAAGCATGTATAATTCAGCCATAATACAACCAAGTGCCCAGATATCAATTGGTGAATTATAGGATGTGGAACGTAGAAGAACTTCTGGTGCTCGATACCTGTAAATTTGACTTTTTGTTTCCTATCTTAGAGAAAACTAGAGAAATATTAATCTTTTAATGCTATTTTAAAATTTCTATCTTATCATTCCATTCTTTTTATCATTTTTATCTTATCACATTTTATTTCTTGATAAAAGACCTTTTATCATCATCTTATTGGATAAATCATCCATTAACAATAACAATATCATTTATATACTTATTTTAATAATAATCTTATTATCACAATGTTACGAATGCATTCATGCAAACTTCTACTTAATGATTCAATAATCATTATTCCTTATCATTTCAATATTTTAATGATCATTCTTGTTATCATACTATAAAATTACCCTATCAGCTGTTTATTACACATACATACATACACACACATACACAGGTACACACAAATAGATACACATGTAACACACAGGTATACATACGCACACGCATACAAGTATACATGTACATGAATGAATATATATATTTAATAAATTACTTATATAAGAAACAATCTCTCATTGTTTTCATTTATTACTGAACAGAAGTAAACTTTTGTTTAGCAATTATTTCTATTAAAATTTAATTTTGCAAAATGTTAAATTTTAGTACTAAAAAATTTAGCTTTAACAACCAAAAATTAAGCTTACAGAAAAAAAACGGAAATGATCAGTTGAAAATTTCAACAACGATTTTAAAATAAGATGAAAAATAAATTTAAAAGAAAAATTTTCTCATACCAACGGGTGGAAACATAATCAGTATAGGGTGGTCTTGAACGTATTTCACGTGCTAAACCAAAATCGGCAATTTTAACAAGTTCGGTACCATTACACATGATATTTTCCGGTTTCATATCACGATGAAAGAAACCTAAAGAAATAAATCAGCTAGCGCTACGGTAGTATCATTTTAATTAATATCATTAAATATTTTTAGTTTATCAGTGAAAAAAGAAAATATGATAATTTTAGTAAGTTTATGTTAATTACGATTTAAAAAAAAATTTTTTGATAAAAATAATTTATGATAGATTAAAGATTAAATTCTTTAAATAAAAATTTTAAGTTTATCCTAAAATTTTTTTTATATGGTAGGGGTATTGTGAATGTGTAGAAACCATCCCTGTTTAATAATTGGATACGCTTTTTTCTAAATGCAAGGCAAAATACTGCCGTAGAATGAGTTGGCAGGTGTAGAGACAATATAGTAGGGGAATTTTGTC